TTTGACCGTTCTCAGAAAGGCAATAAGAACAAGAACATCTGGCAGCGCTCGTCTGCACAAACGCTGAAAAAGACTTTTCCCAACAATAAGACACGCTTTTTCTTGCAGAGTCACCAATTCCTGATTTGAACTTTTCATGTTTCATGTCTGACAACGTGGTTGGGTCTAAAGATTCCTCTCCCTAAAAAGTCTTCTGCTTTTTCCTTAATGTCACATGTAAATGTTTCAGATCAGAAAACACATTTCAATACCAGACAAAGGTAACCTGAGTAAATTATTATTTCATTAGTTATTTAAAGGCTAACTAATATGAGAGAGTAGCTGCTCCCCAAATCTAATATGGTCATAACACTCGCTGGTCATGAGTCTCACTCTTATTTACACAGTTGTTTGAAATCAGCCACATTGAATGGTTTTCCAGCCTGGATGTCATATTTAATGTAAATAATCAGATATTCTCCTTCAGCATTTCTCGTAAAGAGCAGAAATCACGGTTCCATTATTCACAACAAGGTCCGGATGTTAAAAGAATCATTTAAAAACAGGGATTTGTATTAAATGTGGTTATTTTTGTCAGGTGTAGAAGTGTGTTTGGAGAAATGGAACATTTAAACGTCACAAAAAGTAAAAACAGAAGAAATGTGTAAAGCAGCAGGTGCTGTTTTTACACTAGTGTGAGTCCGTACAGCAGCTACAGAGGTGGAGTCGGTGTTACAAGAGCCCGTTATAGAAATCACCTCTTGTGGAAAGGAAATGCTCTCGAAGGGAGTGACCCGGTGTTCCTGCCAGTCTAAATACCTGGCGCTGAGAACCAGGAAGACCGGGTTCGAAGGTGATGGAGCAGAATCTTATCTGGCCTGCCCATTGGTCTATTAGCACGGCGCTAGGCGAGAACAAGTACCAGGCCTGGTAACTCTCACCACTGGGGCAGATAGAGAGAGAGAGAAGCAGAGGGTACTTATCAGCCCTGAGTATTTCCTCTGCCCCTGCTCTGATAGGGCCCCTCATCCTGTGAGCGAGGCTATCGCTGTTATTGCAGTCCTTTCTCTCCACTCTGGTGGTGACATTTTATAGCAAATGTAAAGGAAGACTTTTTTCTTTGTCTTACAGATATGCAGCTTTCCCCTGTTCAAGTCATGTCAGCACAAAATAATGTTTTTAGGTTGAGAAGGTATCAGGAGGAAAGAGACGGTCATCCTAAACTGCTGTGAGCCGTGTTTTTGGAAACTCTGCTGAGCTGCAACAGTGTTTCAGGTGATGGATGGTTTTCTATTCAGGCTGTTTTACCTGTTTGTTTTTGTAATTCAACTAAATAAAATCAATCATGTAACAAACGATCTAACCCAACACAATAATCTGTAAGTGATTTCAGAAAATCAAAAAACACAGAGGTCTATATGCTGATCCCAATAAAGCTCTCATTCACTAATTATTTAGGTAAATCTGCGGTGGTCTCTAGCATACATGCATATAATGTGAGTTGATCTCTGTAGGAAAAAAGCTGCAATGTTCCTGTTTCAGGAAGTAGAATTGAGCCGAATGAGTGGAGGGCAGAAAACAGCAGATTCTTACCCATTAATATTCATAATATTCAGAGATCTTGTCCCTGATTGGCTAACTGAAACGTGACTCTTCCAACGCCTCCATTTGCTCTGCAATGTTGACATTTTATCTCCACAAGCAACACAAGCCTGAAGGAGTTCTGCCGTGTTGTGGAGTTGCTAATGCTAACAGTTAGCTTCTACTAGCCGAGACAACCTCTGCTCTCTTCTGGACGCTAAATGAACATTAACCTTCCGAGTTACGAGCCAAAATGGATTTGGATATCTCTCCTCTGATTGGCTAACAGCAACAAAACTCTACCACTGACTGTTTGCTCTGCCACATGGATGTTTTATCTCCACAAAATATCATAAGTCTGAAGGAGTTCTACCGTATTGTGGAGTTGCTAATGCTAACTAGGGGTGTAACGGTACGCTAAAATCGTATTCGGTTTGGTTCAGTGTTTTGAAGGTCACAATTAGTCTACAGGTGAGGGCAGAGCGTCTCGGCTAGTAGAAGCTAACTGTTAGCATCAGGGGTATAACGGTTCACGGGGGAGTGTTAAACTGTTTCGGCTCAGCCTGCTGGTTTTGGTCCACTTGCGTACCGTTTGGGTTTATTTTTTCCTTTGAATAATGAATTTTTATTTGCTTGATTTAAGTGCAGCAGATAAAAGTTCCTAGGCGAGTTTCTGCACAGACGCAGTATTGTGTGACGCATGATGGCTGCACACGCCAGATCTCCGTTTAGAACATATGATCTGCACTTTATGATCAACGCCTTTCAGAGCGGATCAAACCAGTTTTAAAGAAGAAACTCTGGGTGGTGTGAGGTGAGTTTTTATGGCTCGCTACAAAAACAAAAACACAACACTTGTTTGTATGAGCGTGAGACTCATAGCTGCACAAATAATCTGTGAAGTAATTAAAGACATCATGCTAGGTCAGTAGCATGTGATGACACCTGGTTCTGCTCACTGTAGGAGTCGCTTCAGATTAAATAAATATAATAATAGTTTATCGAAAAATAATCGAACTGAGCTCTTCAAAACACTGAACCAAACCGAATACGATTTTAGCGTACCGTTACACCCCTAGTTAGCATTAGCAACTCCACAATGTAGTAGAACTCCTTCAGACTTGTGATATTTTTGGAGATAAAACATCCATGTGGCAGAGCAAACAGAGTCAGTGGTAGAGTTTTGTTGCTGTTAGCCAGTCAGAAGAGAGATATCCAAATATCAGGAAATAAGACTCCAAAACCTGTCGTCTACCTCTCACCTCTGATCTGGCTCACTTCTAGTTCCTGAAACAAGAGCACCAGAGCTTTTCTCCTCAGAGATCAACTCACAAGGCATTCACTTATAGGCCACTGCAAATGTGTTGAAAACAGACTGATCTGTATGCGGACCATAATGATGCTTTATCGAATTAGGTCAGAAAAGCACGAAACATTAGCCTCAACTAATGAAAAAGGTCACAATACACAATGAAACGTGGCTACCAACAAAAACCGTTCAGCAAAAAAGCAGCAACAAATTTAACAAGCTGTCTAAAGTAAGGATCACAAAATCTTTTCATCCAGCAGTTTTTTGACCCTCTTATATATTTTTGAGGTTTCACTTGGTTTGACTAAAAATCCCCCTTTTCATTAGCTTTGTTCTGATTGGGCCCTGTTGACACAGCAGCATTTTCAAACAGTGAGAGAGTGCACATGTGGCGATAAACAAAATCACAGATGTAGCAGCAGGTCCAAATGAGTGTGGTGTCTGACCGCATGGCTAAAACTACACAATACACACCGACCGATTCACACATGAACATTCCCCATTCGGGCGGCAAGTCTTCCAAGATCGAACAAGACTTGGGTGTAAACAAACATGGTGGAGAAAAAGTGTGCGGCGTTCTTCCGTGAACTTGCTGTACATTCATCAGGCAGCATGGTCGTTTGTCAGATAACCCATGTTTGATAGCCCTGACTTTAGTGCTCTTTAGTCACCACACATGGCAGGAATACCAGATAAGATCTTTGAAGCCATTACGATAATTGGGCGTGCCCTTAAGATTATCAGAAGGGGAAGAGACTCTCTGCCTGATTCTACACGTAGAATCACTGTGGCTGTTGTCCTCTGCAGGTGAGCCACTATCGACTCATAGCTTCATCATCAAACCACAGCTACAGGTGAAACTAGAAAACTTGAAAATGGTGCAAAAGTCTATTTATTTCAGTAATTCTTAGACTGAGAGACCATCTAAAGGTTCAGAAACCCTTTGCAGGTGTTTAGGATTCATTAGCTGATTAGAGTGTGACACTTGGAGTCTAGAATTTTGAACCTTTTCACAATATTCTAATTATTTGAAATGTTGAATGTGGGGTTTTCATGAGCAGTAAGCCGTAATTATCACAATCATAATAAATAAAATGGTTGACCTATCTGACTGTACATGTAATGAGTATTTCCCATGCATTAGTTTCACATTTGTAAGTTAAATTATTGAAATAAATGAACTTTTGGACCATTTTCCAATGTTTCCAGTTTCACCTGTAAAGCACTGCAGCTATACCTTTAGGAAAATGTTCAGAAGAAAAAGTGATTCATAAATACTAAACACATCTTCACAAGAAAAATGAAAAATTTCAGTGGAGGGATGAAAAATGACCAACCTGAAACACATTCAAATAGTCTAAATAAGAATTAGAAATAATATAAACATAAAAAATGTGTTTGCATTTTTTTCATTGCACAGTTATTATTCACCAGCTTGGTCTAAAAATGATAGTTATCTAATGTGAAATGTGAAATGCACTGTCTACAGTAAGCACACATTGTCTCCCCACCCAGCACCTGTTAGATCTCCCTCTCCACCCAGTAAACATCCTCTTTCACATCTTTTCTCCCACAATCACCGCATTTGAAATCCATTCATGCTCCTGCTACTTTAGAATAAAACTAATCAGCACAACGTTTTTGTTTAGTTTATTAAAATGCCCGTCCTCCGTCACTGCACCGTGCAGCTTCTCTGTGTGGTCACAGCCCGCTGGTAGCAGCCCTGAAAGGCGCAATCTGCTGTGGTATCATGTCAGCTACACAAAAGCTGCACCTGCCCAGAGCTTTGTCGTCTGTAATCAGCCTCTGCCCATGCTTTGGTTTGGTGGGAGCTCATATTTCTAAATTGTGTGTGTGTGAGTGTGTGTATGCATTGTTTTCTTGTTATTTGCATGTCTGAAGCCGATAAGAACTGTTATCAAACAATGTTTTCAATAGATTTTTTAAATACATTTTCCCATTTTTAAATTCTATTGTTTCCTTTAGATTCATTCAAAATAATTTAAACAAAACAGCAATCACTCCTAATAATAATAATAATAATAATAATGATAATAATAATAATAATAATAATAATAATAATAATAATAATAATAATAATAATAATAATAATAATAATAATAATTCCTACCTTCTTTGGCAGCCAGACGTTGGGAGGGGTCTGGGTGAGATGGTGTGTTGTAGGATAATGATGAGCTACCTGTGAGGCAAAACAAACAAACAAATAAATTAATTAAATTAATCTGAAAACATTAGATTTTCTTTAAGTATATGGAAATATCTAGAATATGAATTTAAATCTGGATGTGTTATCATTAATAAAATGTAAAGCCATTTCAGGTATTAACCAGCAGGTGGCAGCAGAAAGCTCAGCTTCATTTGTTTCAAACTGCACAGTGGAGTTGTTACTTGACCTGATCTGCTGGTTGTTACTAAAATAATGTTGATTAAAAAACATTTTCCTCAGACAAGTTTAACTGCAAAAAAAAATACATAAATAAAAAAAGAGAAAAAAAGCTAATGCAATGTGAGGAAAACTGCAGAACCTCTCAGTGTTTTCAGTCCAAGCGCTGCTCCCGGGAGGCGAGAGTCCTCATACGGCTGCTGCCTATTCACTTCACCTTATGGAGCAGAACTCTGCGCTGCATTCCTCCACTTACACAGGCACCCTGGGCGGCACCAAAATGCTCTCTTAATTTTAGCTGCCCCCAGGCATAAATCAGCGAGTGGAAAAACAGACCCGAAAATCCACAGAGAAAACATGAGCGCAGTTACTACTCGGAGTGCAGATTTAACTCGGAGACAGCTGAGAAGGGAGGTTACTTCTTTTCTGAATGGAGCGATTTCAAAGACAACTTTGAGTCTAAATGTAAAAAAAAAAAAAGAAAAGATATCCTGCAGGTATGTGATGTTCTCCTGAGATCCGAGGCTGGAGCCATACCTAGCTTAAATCACCATTGGCCATGGGGCCCATCGTCTCAGACTTGGGCTCTGTTGTTTTAAGGGGGTGGTGATGGAGGTGGAAGAGTGGGGTGCTCCACAGATGCATTAGCCCCAGACCCCACCCCTCCCAGTCCTACCCACTCCATGGCACCCCCAAGGGTCTGGGTCTAGTTTAGAAAGCCAGGGGCCTTAGAACAGGGGATCCATTGTATAAGAGGGGTCCCTGCACAGCAATCAAACGCAGCTCCCCGTACAAAAATAATTCCTCACACGCAAAGTAAGCACACGGGGGCAAAAGAGCCACCAAAGCTGTGTCTTTGGAATGGGAAGGGGGTGTGTAAGAGAAAGATGAACAGACGAGGGAGTGAAGGGAGGAGGAAAGGCCTTTTAACCCTTTTCCTACTGTGTGCCACATATGTGGGCTGACCCAGACAGGCAAACAGGCCACATTGCAGAGAAAACCTCAAACCATCCCACAGAGAGATCCAGGCCTGCCGTGCAGCAGAGAGTGAGAGTGGCTGAGACAGACACCACAGCTGACTGCCTGCTGAAGGGAAGTGTTGCCTCTGCTGCCCATTTATTTGCACTGCATCTTCTTCTCCTCTGAAAACAAACACGTACCAGTATAACCTGACAGCACAGTGGGAGGACTGGCCACTGTTCGGCCTCTGAGACCCACACTCTCCCTTCACCTCTCCATCACATCTGTTCAGACTCTGTTAGATTACATAACATCCACTAACAATTTTCTTTTCTCCCCTCCTTTGACTGAAGGGTTTTTCAGAAAGCTGTGTGCATCGGGATGACATGCCCAGAATTTGGACAGATATTTTTCTGGGCTTGTTCAACGTTGTCTTGGACCCCCAGATGGCCTCTGCTGTTTATTCTCTGAAGCTACATGACACCATCGCTCCAAACTTGTGGTCTGAGTTTAATCAACAAACCAAAAATCACCCAGTTTTGAATATCTTGCCACCTAAGAGATGATGAATGGGTTCCAGCACACAACACCTTCACAGGGTCTCTCTGAATGATTTTCTAACAGACAATAAAACAATTTGTCACCTGCATTTTTTTCTGCTGATGAGAAAAGAACTCAAGACTTTAAATTTACTGTTGTTTATTTAGTTTTTTAAGTTTTTGTACAATTTCAACATTTCAAACTCTGCTGTTAGAGATGTGGTTTCCACTCGCAAATTTCAGAGGGAAGAATCACCTTCATCAAGGCAGGGTTGCAAATGCTGCCAAGATCTTAGAAATCTCTACAGCTTAAAAATAATCACACAAAACTAGTTTATAATAACTGAGATTTTTACTTGTGAGGGACAGTGCAGGGAGTGAGGGAACGCTGGAGCGTGAGGTCGACAGGCAGATTGGTGCTGCATCTGCAGTTATGTGGGCGTTGTACCGATCTGTCATGGTGAAGAGAGAGCTGAGCCCGAAGGTGAAGCTCTCGATTTACCAGTCGGTCTATGTTCCAACCCTCACCTATGGTCATGAGCTTTGGGTAGTGACCGAAAGAAGGAGATTGTGTATACAAGTGGCCAAAATGAGTTTTATCCACAGGGTGGCTGGGCTCTCCCTTAGAGATAGGGTGACAAGCTCAGCCATCTGGGAGGGGCTCGGGGTAGACCCGCTGCTCCTTCACATCGAGAAGGGCCAGTAGAGGTGGCTCATGCATCTTGTTGGGATGCCACCTGGTCACCTCCCTAGTGAGGTTTTCTGGGCACATCCAACCTGGGAAAAGGCCTAAAGGAATACCAAGGACACGCTGGAGAGACTATGTCCCTCAGCTGGCCAGGGAACGCCTTAGGATTCCACGGAGGAGCCGGCCCAAGTGGCTGGGGAGAGGGAAGTCTGGACCTCCCTGCTTAGGCTAATGTCCCCACGACCCGACCCCGGAGAAGCAGCTGAAAATGGATGGATGATTTTTACTGTTGTCGATCATATGCCATCACACCACACACAAGGCCATTTAGAATAGAAATTGGCAACAGAGTATGATATCTGCAGCTTTTTGGTCCAGACTGTATTACTGAAACTTCTCCTATTTGTGAGAGTATTCAGGCAACATAAAACTGAACAGCATTTACGAAAATAGCACATGAATAGCCCAGCTGTGGTTAGTTTTCAGCTTTTATTGCTTGGTACTAATGTCTACTTGCTCAAACTTAAACAGAGAAGGTATTAAGTATTTATAATTTTCCACAATTCAAATTCCAATTTGCCCCTTGAAAGCATCTTATTTAAACTAAAAGAGACAACGGAATTTCTGGAAATGAATAAATGATGTCCGGTTGTTGAAAAATATTGGCAGCTTTACACCATATAACCATAAAAATCAGGTCCAAAGTATATACGGTGCAGGTCTAGTGTCTTTGGGGATGCATATTGGATGCGATGTTTCCTCCTGGCCGGCTCAGGGTCCTGCACCTGTTGATGATGTCACACTAGATGATTTGCTGAACGTCTGACTTACGGAAGTTACGTTTCTGAGCTCTCCTTTTCTGTGGCCGTCTCCAAGTTTCGGTCCTCCACCACCTCTCTTACCCGTGGTGTCCCACAAGGTTCTGTGCTGGGGCCTCTGCTCTTCCTCCTCTATCTGCTTCCTCTTCAGCACATCCTGAGCTCCTTCAAAGGAATCTCCTACCATATTTATACAGATGACATCCAACTGTACATCTCCTTTAAGCCCCATGAGATGTCTAAGCTGCAGCTGTTACACACCTGCTTAGACTCTATCAAAACCTGGATGGCTGGGAGCTTTCTACAGCTGAATGAAGATAAGACTGAGATCCTCATCTGTGCCCCAGACAAGCTGGTTCTCAAAGTCAGAGACTCTCTTGGTCAGCTTGCTTCCCACATCAAACCTTCTGTCAGGAATCTAGGCGTGACCTTTGACCCAGCTCTCACCCTGGATTTTTATGTTAGTTCTCTTGTTTGCTCTTCCTTCTTCCATCTCAGGAACATTGCTAAGCTGAGCCCCATTCTGTCTCGCTCTGAACTTGAGACAGTTCTCCACACCTTCATCTCCTCACGCTTAGACTACTGTAGCTCTCTTTTCACGTGTCTGAGCAGAACCTCCCTGAACTGTCTACAGGTGGTTCAGAATGCCTGTGCTCGGCTTCTGACCAAGTCCTCCAAACACACCCACATCACCCCCCTTCTTCTCCAGCTTCACTGGCTGCCAGTCAACTTCAGGGTTCATTTCAAGATCCTGGTTCTGGTCTATAGGGCCTTACATGGACAAGCACCATCTTACATTGGTGATCTTCTTAGTCCCTACACCCCCATCAGGTCCCTGAGGTCCAGTGATCAAAGCCTACTGGTTGTGCAGCACCAGGCTAAAGACCAAAGGTGACAGATCATTTGCTGCTGTGGCCCCCAGACTCTGGAACTCTCTCCCCCTGAGCCTGAGATCAGTGGACTCAGTGCTCTCCTTTAAAAATCAGCAGAAGACTCACTTGTTAAAGCTGGCTTTTGTATGACCTTCTTCACCACTCTCTATTTATTCTGCTCTCCCCACCTATTCCACCTTCCTCAGGATCCACTGATTTCCCTCTTTCCTATTCACTCTCTTTCTTAACATTTCTTCTTTTAAATCCCAATTGCCTATTTTTGCTCATTTTAAATATATTTTTAAACAGTTTATAAATGCTTTTTTATATTTTAACATTTTTTTGTTTTTGTTTTTGTGAAGTGAAATGATATTTTCTTCTTCTTCTTCTACCACGTTCAAAGACATTTAAGAAGTAAGAAACATGAATTTAACAACAAAACTGTTAAACTCTTTCCAAAACATATGTGAAAGAAAGAATCGAAAAAAAAAAAGATGCAATATATTTTGGCCAAGCAGTATTGCCACAGTATGATGACATCATCAGCAAGTGCAGGACCCAGAGCAGATCCGGAAACTACAGTGCCAGAAAACTACAATCAGTGTTGCATTCTCTTGATGGAATTAACTGAATAACCAACAAAGTCTGAGGAGTCACACCGAGGCCACGTGCTTTGTGCTCCACATTTAGTGTTTTTTTTAACTAGCAACAGTCAACAGCAATATGGTGTAAAACTACCCTGAAATGTATGTACTGCCCCCTAGTGGCAGGAAACTACACACTGCAACTTTAAGGGCATGGTTGGTTTGACGGACATCCTTTGGGCTCCCAAGCTCATCCATCCCTTGCAAGTCATTTCTTCCTTAAAAAAAAAACAAGGTGAGAGCTATATGACAAACTCGAGGCTTCTGAACTGTGGCCTTTTAATTAGCTGGTTAAATCATAGTGTCTACATCCAGAGTCCATGCATGACATATAGCACCAGACTAGCGTAAAAGACTAAATCTAAACTTGTTCAAGCTCTGCTGCAAACTACCGATCTGGTAAAATAGCAACAAATCTAAGTAACTGTCTCATATTTTTTCATGAATATGTAATTAAACTAGTGCTGTTAATAAAAGAAAGTCCAATACTGTGACTGGGCATACATATGAAATACAACTATCCACATCCGTCTTACATCGCAACACCATTCTTCTTCAAACATTATTATGCAGAAAAACAACAGAACTGTCCTTTTTTTCCCTTTTGAAGGCCTGAGCTGACAGAAATGCAGCGGAGGCTGTGACTGATGAATGGATTGACATAGTGAGTGAATGTGGTGCAGAGATTACATTCCAAATCGTACCACCAGCCAAAAGTAAGTTCTGGGAAACTCAAAAGACCACACCTGAGACTATTCCAAAGCTCCACCACAAAGACCAGGGTTGTTCTAGGAATTAACATGTCTGGCATGATGTGTTGGATGGGAAAACTGTTAAGTTCACTATGCTGCAGACTTTCAGACCTGTTCTTGTCAATAGTCGTTAAAGCCAGTTAGCCAAATAAACAAACAGTGCTTCTGATCTCACCTTTAAAGAGCTGAGGATTAGGTGGATGATGTTGGTGATGCTTCCTAATGACAGTAATATTACAGAAACTACAAAACCCAATGAGGTGAGACCTTAAGTCAGTAGGTTTCTGGGAAACAAGTCTGCCTGTGTTGCTGCATCTGAAACAAATTCAAGAATAAAATACGTATCGTTCATTCCTCAATGTTGGAGAGGAGCTCTGTCTATTTTAGAGCCTTCAACCACCATAGATCAATTGTGAGAAACATACATGACCAGAGATGTTTGTCATTATGAGGTGACCTCCTATAGATTTATGCAAGCCTAGAAATCTACATAAACTGTAGCAGTAGAATAAGATTATGCTCTGCAGATCAGTCTAGCCACGCTCAGTTGCAGCCATTGGCCCAAACAGCTGTATGTCTTTCCAATCACAGCACTCTATGTTTGTTGGGCGGGCTTAGGGCTATGAAAGGAAAAATTCAAAGATGGAGTCAGCTCAGGAATGGCACTTGTTTGAAATAGAATACAATAGAAAAAAATAGCATGCAGAGACAGTTTGAATGACAACCTTGGATTCCACCTCACAACCAAGTTGTATCCATGGATCGTGGCCAGACTATCATATCTATAAGATGGCTAGCTGGGCTAGGTGTGTACCATTCTAGATGAGAACATTTCTTCCATCCATCCATCTGGTGGAGCCTCCAGCTCCAGTTTTATCTGAGGGTGGTCCACAGAGGTAACAGCTCCAGGTCAGAGAGTACATGTGAAACCTCCTGCAAGTTCTGGGTCTGCGCTCTGGTCTCCTTCCACTTCCCAGTAAACCTCTATATCAGTGATCCTCAACTCCCTTCTCCAAGGGCCGGTATTCAGCATATTTTACTGTTTTCCCTGCATCAACACACCTTATTTTAATCAGCAGGTGATTAACAGGCTTCGGCAGAGCCTGATGAGCTGCTGAACAGGTAAATCAAGTGTGTTGGTTTAGGGAAATGCCTAAAACAAGCTGGATACCAGCCATGGGGGGAGGGCGTTGGGGATCATTGAGGCAATCGAGACAGTAAAATCAACCCCGAGTTTTCTCGATGATAGAGGACCTCACCGTTACCATTTGGCAGAGGTCAGCAATTTTTTGTCGGGCCATTTTCTACACTGATACAATATTAATAAAAAATAAAGAACTGTCTCCTGGTATTAATAAAAGTGCCAAATATGAACATTTTTCAAATCAAATAAAAAAAACAACTACCTTACAATAAAAATAAGCTCCTTTCCGTGTTTAAACCATGGCGTCTGCTTCAGATCCCTTTCCACTTATGCTATTGTGACATGAACGTGGGTTCCTGTAAAAGCGAAGTGTCTGAGCAGTCAAGTGAGCAGCCACAGACTGCTTTGTTACGGTGGCTAACGGCAGACAGCTAACGGGCTCGGGGCCAGACTGTTGAGCCCCGCTGCACCAGTGATAATCTGCCAATAGAAAGGACTAATGCAAGGGGGAGCTCAATAAAAATGTTGTGAGGGGAGAAAATGGAAGGAGAGAGTGAGAGCTCCAGAACTCCTTTTTTCCCTACTCAGCCTGCGAGCCCTGATGTTTATGGCCTGTATAAACTGTTGAGGGTTCGAGAATGTCCCCCCCGCTCTGATGAGAGCAGCAGTGGAGCAGAAGCCCAGACTTATCACTCTCCCTCTCAGTCCTGACTCCCTCACTGTAAATCCATTCAAGCACACAAGCAATGGTGACAGCTGGGAAACAGAAGTGTTGCTATTCTCCAACATCTCTGTCGTTTCAAACCATTTCCATACACACCAAAAATGATCCATCTGCTCCATCTTTTTAATACTTTTGTTCGAGTTTCATCCTCTGACTCAGGCTAACAACCTCCTGTTGTTACCCTCAAATCACTACTATCCCATTACCATTCTCTCTGTCAAGGATTTATTCCATCGTTTTGTTCGTACGATTATGTTTCTGTAGAATTACCGCAGATCCGTTTTCAGTTTTCTAAAGTATTTGTCTTTCCCCTGCTCTCCTCTGGTCTGAAGACACAGTCTCTCGCTGTTTGAGGTTTGTTTCTCTGCTCTGCTTCCAGCACATGTGGTATCAAAACGACCTACATGGGTGCGATAAAGCAAACAGTCCGCAGTCCCCTCCCTGACAGACTAATTTGAACAAATTCTCAAATTGCACCCCAAATTGAAAGCACATTGGGGTGTGGGCGGCCATCACTTATAAAAATCTGGATAAATGACCGGCAATTAGGCCAAAATAATGCTCAGGCAACAGCCCTTGTTACTGTAAGCAGCTGGGTACCCAGACAGATGTTCAGCTCGTGCCCGTGGCTGGACCGGCGTGGGTGTCTGAACATTTTCGAGGATGACGTGGCAGGAATGTTTTGTTATGGCATGGCTATAGGGTGGGGAAGACTGTCCCTGCTCTCTGCCAAGTGTTCCTACAAGCCCTAATGAAGCTCAGGAATGGTAATCAAAGGTTCAATAAACTGCACTAAATGCACACATGCTAAGCACACGCATTTATGAATTGATGATGATTGCACCATCGGTTTCTGGAGGATTGAGGGTAATATCTGAGGCTGTGGAGACTTGGAAAGGAGCTTGACATTGGATGACCTGTAATCACTAATACTTCCAGGGTTTGGCTCTGCCCCCCATTCTTTTCCTCTTTCTGTATTCTGGAAGCTCGCCGAAGCTCAAGCTCTCATGAGTGAAGCCAGAAGTCTATTTTCTGGACACAGCTATTCCTCTGCTATGATTTTTTTTGTTTGTTTGTGCTGTGGGGGTAGAAGAGAGAAAGGATCTAAGAATCGCTAACCCTGCGGTGTTTGTGTTAAACGCAACCCTTTCCTTTTGCATCTTATTTAGATTTGTGTGCACTAATATGGTTCATCTTGCCTTTAGGCTCTTGGAGTTAATAAAGTGCACTTTTTGCATCTTAAAAGAGTTGTGCAAGTCATCCAGCCTACGGGATAATTCATCTTTTCGACTGGTGGGAAAAGATCCAAATTAATTTCAACCGGCAAGCAAAGAGGAGACCCTTCTTGTCTCCAAAACACATAAAATATCCATTTTTTAAAGTGCAGCGAGGGGCAGAGTTGCAACACAGCAAACATAAGCTCAGTCCTGCAGCCAGTGATCATTATGCAAACTGCTCTGCAGAGCGTGCCCAGTGGTGGTCAGACAAATCCACCCGCTACAGCACCGCACAATGAGCCTGTTATACTTATGGCAAGCATCTCACTCTGCCCAGACGCAGCACACATAGAAAACTGTTGACACCCACAAAATACAGTACCCATTACATCACATCAAGGTCCATCACAACTTTTTGGGGAAGAAAAGTTAAATATAGCGAAGCTAGCAGCCACTCCACCCAATGTGTTGTCATGCTATTCTGCAACAGCGGCAGAAGAAACTCTCTTTACTCGGAGGAGCCTAAAGCAACGACAGTTGAGTATTCAAACCACAGCCCCTCCAGATGTTACGTCTTAGATCAAAACTCCATTTGCATACAGCTTCAGAAAAACACTGGCTTTGTTTCCCCAAAGAAACATATGAAGCAGGATTTCTCTGAGGTGCGCTTCAAAGGTAGGAGGCTCACATTTAGTTGCCTCCACTGCAAATTGCAGCTCAGAGTTCTTTGCTGTGCTGAACACGCAGGCCGAGCGCCGATTCCTGAGGCTATGCACCTGGCCTTCATCTCTCTCTCTGGACCATGTGGAATAAGGTCCTGCAAAGTGTAGTGGGGGGTGTAGTTGATGGTTATCTTGAGATAGAAAGAAACTTCTCTCGGTGGAAGAAACAAACACCAGTAAGAGTCATTTGATTGATAATTGGAATATTTTTTCTAGATTTTTGGAGCAAATTTTTCAAATTTGTGCTTTGCCTTTTTAAAAAGTATTTTTCTGCGGACACAAGAACGTTCTAGTTTTCTGATCACCGTCCTTCTCCCCAGCCTGCTTCCTTTGTTTCAGATGTCTTTTGCACACTGTAGACTTACTTTCCCTGAGGTAATTGAGATGAGAGAGAAGCACTTCTGCGTTGTACATGGAGGTGAGCCGGAGGAAGTCGTCCTTGCTCATCTTGCAGAGCTCCTTGCCGTCCGTGTTTTGAAACAAAGACGTGTCGATCTCCAGCAGGCCGTACTCCTTGATGGCCCATTCTAGCCACTGGCGCACGTGGTCCTGGGACCACAGCGACGGGTCTGCAGGAGGACAGGAGAAGAGCGGAAGTTTATCGACTGGGAAAAAAGAGCTTATTTATGGACACTCGGGGAAGGCAACCGGGAAGTTCCTAAAGCTCACTGAAGTGGAGGGAGGGTGAGAAATGAACAGGCTGAAAACTGAATTTGGCTCAGAAACATCAGGAAAGTCATTAAATTCTTTTTTTTTATACTTTTTTTTAAACACATCAGATGAGTTTCCCAGAAGCAGGAGCTTCAGACACATTTTCAAGCACAGAACAGATCTCACAGTTCGTTTGTGATTGATAAAATGTTCTTTGGCCAGTGTTACGACCCTGTGGGTCCACCTGTGGCTGATCAGGACATCCTACATGATGCACCTGACTGACATCTCTGTTAGGTTTAGTTTGCACCTCACCATTTGAACTTCTGTTTCTTTAGAGGCTAATAAATTGTGTTTAAAAATTTAATGGGGTCTCTCTCCTTTTGCTAAGACTGCCTCATCATGACGACGTCAGCTGAAACAAACACAAGCAGAGTTTTGCCCCTTAAAGTAAAAATAGAAACAAATTAAAGAACAACATCTAGGACCTGCTGACGGACTAACAAATTCACCAGTGTAATTGGAAAAGTATTAACGGATTAAATAAGTAAAAAGTCAGACTCCCTAATGTTACTATGGTGATATTTTGTTGAAGGAGATCAAACCTAAACTGTTTATTGTTTGCTGATTTCTCTTTGCAGAAAGAATGAATGACAATGTGCCTTTATTCATGCCATTCATTTAGACTATTGAGTCATATTATGCTCTTCCCTTTATGTGATAACTAAATTCACCATGGCATGCAGCATTCAGCGTATCGTGCTCTGCGACAAACCCACTCACACACCCTCGTTACACCTTGTACAGGTTTTGAGGGTAGGTCAAAAAAGTTGATGCTGATTTTTGAAAGGGTTTCAATTCTTATTTCTTTATACCAGATAAAAATGTCTTAATATGTAAATAGTCAAAGAATCATCTCTCATGTTGGTGAAACTGCTTTGATTCATGCTTTTCTAATCCCCTAAATTTGCCATAAATCCCTTTAATATTGAGTTATAACGTCTTCTTCCGCCTATCCAGGTCTGGGTCGCGGGGGCAGCATCCCAACTTGGGAGTTCCAGACCATCCTCTCCCCGGCCACCTCCACCAGCTCCTCCGACAGGACCCCAAGGCGTTCTTGGGCCAGTTCGGAGATATAATTTCTCCAACGTGACCTGGGTCGACCAGGGGGCCTCCTACCAGCAGGACATGCCTGAAACACCTGCCTGGGGAGGCGTCCAGGAAGCATCCTAACAAGATGCCCAAACCATCTCAACTGACTCCTCTTGATATGGAGGACCAGCGGCTCCACTCCGAGTCTCCTGAATGTCAGAGCTCCTCACCCTATCTCTAAGGCTGAGCCCAATCACCCCGCGGAGAAAACGTGTTATTTAATTATATAAATATATTGTTTTTACTGTACTCAAGAAAACTTCCAACGTTTGCTTAGTTTTTAAATTGACTGAAGATGTGTTCTCTTTCTTTAGACTGCTGTGAAAAGTTAGCCCGACCTGCCAGATGCGCCCTCTCTCTACTTTACACAGTGGACAAGTCTGGTTACTCAGAGGCAGAGTCACATGAGGGGCGGGACTAGCCAGCTTAAAAAATAACCAATCAGATAATAGGCGGAAATGACGACTGTATCGCGCTACGCTGTAGTTTATTTATCTGTAGTCAAAGATGGAGTCTGTCAACGCCGCTAACGTCTATCCTCGGAAGAAAGGCTTTTAGCGCTTTTTCCTCTTCTTGTGGTTTTAAGGACATGTCCAAGTTATTGAGAACAGAGGAAAGAGCAGCAGCGAACTCTGCTTCAGACGCCATCTTTGTTGTTTACGAAAAACTGAGCATCACGGTGTGTGACGTACGCTGCACAGCGCTGATTGGCTCGGTTAGAATTCTCAGCGGGTGGGGTTATTTGAATGGGAGCGTTACCCTTTGCTTCCTATGAGGAAGCATTGGCAAAGCTGGCCATGGCTAGTGAAATGTTGGAGTTGCTACTGAAGGTTCTACGAGTTACGTTAAGAGTGAATCTTGACATCAGAGACCCAAGTTTTCCATTTATACTGGCGCTACAACCAGCCGACTCAGCTGATCTCTCCTTGATCAAAATACCACCACATAGCAGGAAAAGCAGAAGGAGAACCATGAGCGGGAAGGAGTAGCCACCATGTATTGGTCTTTAGCTTTTCCTTCTGTCTTCTAATTTTAATTTTATTTTCTTCAGTAAAGACTGAATCTGAGAGAATGATGAACTTATTTATGCTACCAGGTAGACTCCTTAAAGTCAAGGTTATTGCATCACATGTGGATATTCCAAAAGAAGTAAAGACAAAATTAACATTCAAAACTAAAATTTTTCCATATAAAAAACAAAGATGTAATAAACCTGCTTTTAGAGTTGTAACACTGAGAAGCTCTACATGTTTGTGTTATTTTGGTGATGTTCTGTTTCTACCTGCAGGTACGATGACTCTTCGCTCATTGGTGGTCATGTTGGGGGGCGGGGCGCTCTTCTCATCCATGTAGTTTCCATAGGTCATCTGAGATGTGTCATTGCCCCCCACAAGCTTATTACATTTGCCCACACTGCAGTCCACAGGAGACTCCCTGCTGCCCAAACACACACTTAATGCATGCATAGTTGTAAAGACATCATCAGCAGATACATCGGGTGTTGGTGAGTTTCCTTCTAGAAGCTGACGTTGGTAGCCTAGAAATCTAGACCAACTGTAGTAAAAGATTTAGCTTTGCGGGTTGGTCTAGCCACGTTCCATCGGACCGTCAGCAGCCCTAATATTGGCCCAAACAGTTTTCTGTCTTATATGTTTGTTTTCCGGGCTTTGCACCAGAGCTGTGATGTAGAAAAACAACAGCGGGGAAATGACGCTTAAACTACGTTGGCATCAACTTTGAACAATTTAGACTTGAGTTTTTATTTGAGACATGAGCAGATAGAGGTACCTAATTAATTTATTTAAAAAAAGATGAATTTGCTTCTTCTTTGAAGATATATGGCAGACTGCTTCATTTGCTGAGCGATGAATATGTCACATTGGTTGTTTCTCTGATTGGTCCTAGTGCTAGCTTGAAAGACAAGCGTATGGCAATGACTCACCCTTCATTTTCCAGCTATACCAAAGCTTAGAAGCTAATTGTTGGTTAGATGCAGTGAGTGGTGTTAAATGACAGTTTAGGACCGATGGAACAGAACTTACCTGGATCCGTTCATGTGCTCGTATTCTCTCTTGACATTGACCCGAACAGGCTGGTTGATCCACTCCTGCTGGGGGGGAAGAGGGTTGATTTTGTGGGTCTGGCCATAGTCCTGTGTGCCAGATGCAGTCATTTCTGCTTTGGGGAGAGGGGCAGCAGCAGCGTATGGAGGCTCAAATAAGGACTGGTCTTCACTCACCACTGATAGCGCCTCCTGCAGGAGGGGCAAACAATCACTCATTATTTCCTTCTCAGATTCAGAACTATAGGGAATAAGTTACAGGACACATACATCAAACACCTATGGTTGCTGCTTAATCTGAAAACATGCAACTGAACAGCTTTTCCTCAGCAGCTTTAACTCTGAGTCTTATCATCTGACCCTCGAGCAAACAAAAACTCAAGTCCATAATTTGACCAAAACTTGTGATGTAGAATTCTCAATCTCTTGTGTATTTTTGTTTACAGCAATTATGTGCAGTTATGGGTCATATCACAGTCTGGGATCCTCAGTAGTTTGTGTACACAGTCCGTGCTGGGACTGTGGCTTCCTGTTGACGATAAGATGACTTCAGTCTGCAAGGTGAGATAAGATGCTACAAACGTCCTGGTTTAATCACATCCCAGCTCAATAAACACAGCAGCAATTAATGAACAATTAAAACATGACATTTCTCACTTGTGATTCCAATGCCTTTACTAATACCCCCCCCCCCCCCCCCCCCCAACACACACACACACACACACACACACACACTCAAGAAGACACAACAGAGAGAAGGGGGTCACCGCTACTCTGACCTCTCTGCTTTTGGCTCAGATGGAGCGATGTATGTTTATTAAAGAAAACAAACCCAGAAACTTGTTGAGTTGACCAAGCAAGCGCTCGCTGGGCTCCGACATGCTGCTCGTGTGACGTCTCCAAAATAAAACATGGATTACTCAGTGGAATTGTGTGTACTGAAACTCTAATTTCCCTCTGGGATTAATAAAGTATCTTTGATGGATTGATTGACAAGTTACTGCTAAAGCAACGTGTCAGTCCAGATCTTTGCCGATCACCATGTGTGCAGCTAACAATGATCAGCTAAGTCGGTTTTTGTTTTTGTCACACTATTAAACTATTGGCATAAGTAAAACAAACACGTAGAAAAAAAACAATAAGGCCACAACTGAAGCAAAATCACAACAATATGTGTTGGAGGATTAGGCTCAGTTCTGATGTACATCTGGATGTGATTGGATCTGATGGCACAGCTCAGACCGAGACGTGTCTAATCCCAGAGGATAGACTCATTTCATTCCAGCAGGCCACATATCTGCTTCAGGGGGAAGATGCTGGTTGATATTCATTGATCCGTATTTCTAACGTGTAGCCGTTGCGTTCTGTAAAACGTTACTTTTATTAAAAGTGAAATCCTCTTGAGCTCACATGACTTCAGCAATATTTCTTTCAAGTGTGTGTCGTGAATGGAAAAGGTTTGTGCTTTCCCCCATTTGAGTGAGAAATGTCTGTTGTTTCTGAAGTGGATGAGTTCATATTTTCATTGGACAGATTTAAAAACAACAAAAAAAATGGTTTGTTGATGGTAAAGAGCAGGGTTTTAATTTCCTCACCAGCTCCAAGCTTACTGACATGAACCATGCACAGGGGCGGCTCTAGAAAAGGGCTTTCCGATGGGGGCCCCACCAATGGGGGTGGTACACCAAAACCATAAAGTAACAGAGAATTTCATAGGGTTTTTGGCTTTTGCCTTATATTTAGACTAGTTGAAACACTACAGGGTGAGAATTGTACTCTTTTACATTCAATTATCAGAAAAACTAAATGAGTAAAGGCTGTGACGCTTTAGCACTTTTAATTCTATTAAATACAATAATCTGAAAATCTTATTATTTAAAAAGTGGACTATTACTTAACTAATGTTAGTGTAGCATTTATACAAATACCTAATAAGTTTTTACTATGTAATTAAAGTTTGAAGCTGGAACAATTTAATAAAAAGCTATTTTTTAAAAAAATAATGCCTCCACGGGGCATGTAGAGGTGTTCAGAATGAAGGTTCAGTATTTCATTTAAAAGCTATATTTTAATTTTAAAATAATCAAATATGTATGTTGACGGGCATGACACTGAGGTCAATAGAGGGCACCATTGTGGGTTTCCAACCCGTCCATTCGACACAGCAAGGCTGGCACTACGGAAAATGGCGGACTTGGCAAGTCAAGCAGCTGCTTCTGAGACCAGAAGATGTCTTTATCCTTCTCAAAAAAGGAGTGACCATAAAAGCAAAGTGAGTTCAGGTGAATTCTAAAACAGATGGACCCAGATAAAAAAAAGTTTCACGTATCGGAGCGAACCTGGCATCCCGACGGCTGGAAACTTTGTTCAATTGTTGCAGCTACAACCTCCACTAGATGTCGCTTTGGTGTTTGTGTTCCATATTGTACCTTTAAAAACCAAAACAGTAATAATAAACTAAATAATATTGGCTCATTCTAACTGGAGCACTTAGACACTCCACCAGATGGCCAACAGCAAAAGCCTGAAGTTGTTGTCTGTCAGTCACTCAGTTGTCTTCCCCGTTGTCTCCTCATTCCTTCCATAAAGGATTTGATATGAGAGGCTTTTGAAGAAAGAACTACTTCCCCTAAGGATGTAGAGCTTGGATAGACCTGGACAGATGCAAATAAAACATCTAAAATAATCAAATCCTTATTTGAAAAATAAAACGTCATGACTTTAAAGAAAAGAAACTGATGAAATTTGAAGTTTACATAGCTTCTCATGGGATTAGAAACCCTGACTACTTTTCAGACTAAAGTTTCCTTTTGATAATTTGTTAAGTTGGGATTTTGCTTTGCTACTCTTGCTTCATCCCTTTAGTTATGCTATTAAGGCTCAGCGTTCAATAGAAGACACATTTGGCCCAACTCTTCTGTTTGTCTTTTCCCTGCCTCCCAGAATCCACTCCTGCCAGAAGGAAGGCCTGCTGGAGGTTTCCTTCCCATAATCAAAATGAATTGACAGCTTAACTGGCTCAAATCTGGACTCGGTATGAAGTAGAATTTTTGCTTTTTTTTTTTTTTTTTTTTTTAACTAGTTTGACGTGATTTTAGACTGGCTCCAAAGAATCAAAATAAATTAAGAAAAAAAATGGATACAGGAGTAAATATTACCATTAGGGATGTTTGATATAATTGGTCTACCATTTGTATTGGCTGATATTGGCGTTAAAATGTAACATGGGAAAATATCGATATCGATTTTCAGTCTTTTATCAACTCAACTTTTATATGGCACACACCTATTATACACCAAACTCTTCAGCTGTCTCTCCTCTCTCTCAAAATGTCAAAATAAAACAGATATGAGGTAAATCTTTTGAGATATTTTAGTTCATTTGGCAGAACTTGTGAAGTGGAAACTTAGTAAACATATGCTGTTCTCACAGCATGTAGCTATGTGCAGCTAGAGAGCTAACATATGAATAAAACAAGAGTCTCCGCGCAAGGCTAGTTTTTCTTATCTGAAAATCTTTAAGAATATTTTATCACCTTAACAACACACACACACACACACACACACACACACATACACACATATATATATATATATATATATATATATATATATATATATATATATATATATATATATATATAATTATGACACGTTATTACAAAATTAAATTAAAGTTGTATAGTAAGAGACATAGGATGTTAGTGACCTGAAGTTGTTAGTTTTTCCAGGGGGGGGGGGGGGGGGGCATAAGAAGGGAACACAGCATATTTGGTATAGGAAATTATGAGTCAGACAATAACAGCATATTGGTTAAAAACAGCTGATATCGAGCATCCCTATTATGAAACACTGCATCCAAATTGTTCATTTCTACTAACTGCCTAAAAATGTCATTGTTTTCCTAACAAAGCGTATCAGACTGAATGTTTTGAGAAGCAGTGAATTATCCAACAATAAGAGTGAGCAGATACTTACAGATCAATAATGAACAAGTTTTTTTCTGGAGGTTAAATCAGCAGAAAACACATAAAAGCTGTTTTTAATCCTGAAAAGTGAAAACATTGAACCCCCCCCCCCCCCCCCCCCCCCCCATCTGCTAAAATAAGCGTATTTGTCTTCACTCTGGTGATTTCTCTGGAAGATCATCCATCACACAACAAGACACATTATCTGGGCAGAGCACAGCCGCCGCTTAGATGATAACGTGTAAAAGAGTGAGAGAATGTCTCATTGCAGCCTGATAAGGGGGTAGCAAACTATTTTGACTGTTGCTCGTTATATTTACAGACATATCAGCCCGTGCAAATGGAGCCATGATTGACAAGTGGTGTGTGCCCATCAAGATAACAGTATATTGTTTTTATAGCATCCTATAACCGGACTGACAGTAGCGATTCTCGGTTTTCTCATCAGTATCTTTGAGAAACACACTCAACCTATATTGAGATTCTGTCTGCGTCACACTGGAATAGATTAACTTTTATTATCTATGAAAAAAAGGTTGTGGAAACTTTCTCTGCTACAATTTGTCAGGTTTTGAAATATTTCCTTCAAAAATTGACAGCCATAAACTCCTTTCTCTATTTTTACAGTTGCAGCGCTCCAGACAAAAGGGATAAATCATGAAGGCGTCACGAGCATTGTGTGAGTGCATGTGACACCTGCTGGGAGCCACCTCTGCTCTGTTTACACCAGCCCGAGTCAGACCTCTCTCCAAGATGCGTCACGACGCGTCTGGATGTGCGCTGCACACCGAGGCTGCACGTGCATCTGTTTGGAGCTCACGCGCACGCGCCGCAACTCGCATTCAGACACACACCTAGGAGCCACCCTTGAGGGTAAGGGGATGGGGGGGGGGGGGTGCATTCCTGTCTTTTTGTTTAAGGAGGAAAAGGAAACCTGTCAGGAAAAGATTGTGTGGAGCAGGAAGCTCTCATGGCTGTGGGAGTCTTTCCTCTCTTTTAGCCACAGTAGCAGTCATTTAGACCCTGAGATTCAATTCTCACTTCATTAAGTGTTCCAACATCTTGCTTTGTTATAGAAATCACGTCCTCCTGCTGCAGAGACCTCCATACCCACTGGAAGATAATGCCCAGAACGATAAATGGAGGGGTTTAAGTGGCCAGTCTGTTCCAAAAAACGCACACGCACCACACCCTGCTGCCAGAGTTCATTTTGAATTTCCATAAGAAAACAATTCATTGCACTTCTCAGCAATAGCGACACGAAAAAAGTGCATATTTCTGCGCTTATGCGCTCAACGGGGTTTGTGCCACTCAACATCTGGTGGCTGCAGCCATGATGCATCTGGAATTCCTGCTTCAGCAGCCAGTAGCCAGTGTGTTAATGTGGACCAGCGCTCTGCCACCACTAGCATACCGTTTCAAAATAGTTGTGTAACTACACAGGGAACGAGCCAAGGTATCATTGTGCAGCCCTGCGGTTTGCAAGTGTCGCAAACTGGGCAGTTGCAGCACTGAGTGGCCAAATGACAGCTTTTCCTCACAAGTTTACCAACAAGAACAAAAAACGTAAATTCTGGCGCCAGTGTGCATCTTAGCATCACAGATGAGAGATGGTTAACTACACGGGACCATCACAGCTTCCAGACCCGCGACACGATCTCCGGACCGAACCGGGCGACGTGCCACAACGCTGTGGCGCACATCGCATCCAGCTGTTCCCAAACTCCTCACTAGAATTTTAAAAAATCACGTTTTACTAAACAAAAATACAGATCCGATGTTTATGTTTCAGTCTGAAACGATCAATACGTCCTTTGTGCGTTTCGTGCGTAATAGTGCGCTTAGGTTCTCCCCCACCACCTCCACCTCCTCCCCGAATAACGTGATTCTGGTTAAGTCCACAAATCCTCGAAACGGTTTGGTGAGAAGAGGGAAGAGAAACTCTTTCAAAGAAGGAAGGAAAGGAGGAATTACCGCTTTCAGACCAAGAGGACAGCGCCGCTCATCGCCGTCAGATCGGTCCCCTCCGCTCTCTGACCGACACGGAGGAGCGTTTCAATCCACTGCTTTAAAAAAAGGAGGCGCAACTCGTTCCCCCCCAAAAAACTCCAACACCCCGTTCAGTCCTCCACCCTTACCTTAATAGTTCCGTCCATTTTGCGCACTTTTCATCGGACCCCGACCATATCCCGAACATGACACGCTCCTGAGTTAATCCCAGTCCCCCGGTATGTGGCGCAGAGAAAGACTTTTTTTTCGCCGGATTGAGTTTTTTTTTCTCCTCTAAATTTGGGAAGTGAAGTCACCACAGTTTGAGAACGCTTGAGAAGGAAGCTGTGTGTCACTGAAAAGCCCTGCCTTCAAAAAAAAAAAAAAAAAAAAGAAAGAAAAGAAAAGAAAAAAATGCAGGATACTGTCCAAGAGAGATAAGCAGGGAAAACAATTGAGTGTGATGTTTTTTCTGCTCGGAAATATTTACAGGATGAGATGCCTGCGTTGCGCGGCCACTGCTGTGTGCGCCTGCCGCGGAATACTGTCCACCCCCCCCCACCCCACCCCACCCACACCCCCGTGTGTGTTTATTGTGTGTGTGTGTGGGTGGAAGGCTTTCGTGTTTGTCCGACCGCTGAGCTATATCTGCGTCCATCTGACAGGTTTTCTGGATAAACTTAGAGTTCATGTTTTAGTTTCTTTTTTACGCCTCCAGAATCACAGCCCCCCCCCCCCCCCCACACACACACACACACACACGCGCGCGCGCACACACACACACCTCCTGTATAAATCAGACACACTTTTGTGTGTCTCATAGTGGAAGCAATGCATTTCATCCCCTTAATGGACAGATGTTTCTCTCGGAGCGTTAAACCAGGAGGAGATAAACCCGAACACCTGTATCGACACTTTTCCCTTTCTTCCTTTTTTCTAAAACTGCGGATTTTTCCCCTATAAGACTTTCAGCTCGTGATTGCATCATGATCATGGTCTCCATGTGTGCGTCTGCAGCGGTGCAGAGGACCAAACGGATAAAACTGAAGCCTTCATTGCTCTTCATTAATTATTTGATGATTCTTAATCCCAAATTACCCTCCTCAGTTCAGACACAATCCGACGCAGATATTTGACTCAGAGCTATCATGAATTGTCTTTAAGGTGTTGCAAAATTAAATTTTCGGGGACTGGTGTGTGTGTGAACACAAATGTGCCTCTTTTATTATGTTGAAATTATTATTATTATTTTCTAATGTTGGGGTGATGGCTGTGGGGTCGGGGGTAGTTGGAGGGGTTTCTGCCTTAGGGAGGGCTTGTCAGAGCCCTGCGCCTGACAGCAGGGCCGACCTGTCTGCTCTGACTTGGGGGTCTGGTGGAGCAATGCCCCCCCCCCCCCCCCCCCCCCCCCCCCCCCGGGACCACCACATCTGGATCCTGCTAAGGGTCAAGGCTTCTCCTGCCTGAGGCCAGTTCTGACTCGTGTAATTAAGGGAGACACCTTGTTTAACTCTTTAGTGGCCATATTGGTTTCTTTCCCTTTGTTTGTGTCCACATTCCAGCGTCTGGAGTTTTCACATGATGTCTTTTTTAAAGATGAATGATATTAAAAGGCCAATTGTTTATTTATTTTTATTGTTATAGATTGTTGTCTAAAAACATATCTCTTTAAAATGTGGTGTTTCTGTATTTTATGGATTTGCATCAACTAAAGGCATGTTTACCCATATGTGACTTTTTTATTGCAGGCATTCAGACAAAAGAGAAAAAGGCATTGAAAGAGTGTGATACTTTTTGATAACAGACTAATTCTTCTATGTCTAAAATACCAGTTTCAGACAGACTGGAGAGGAGAAACAGGATCTCCCAAGATCATAATGATAAAGTGGTAACAAACATTTTGGAGGGCCAATAAACAGATGCACATCGGTTTACACAGTGAACCACAGAACATCTGGCTTGACGCTTGAACTAGACAGCCAGACATTTCTTCTTCCACCACCAGCCAGTAGCTCCTCTGTCTCTCTGTTTGGGGCGACGAGCCAGAGGTGGGAGGAAACTCTGCTGAACTAACGTGTGCAGCAGGCTTTTAATTGTTAGGGTCCAGTCTGTAATAATCCTAAATAAAATTAGATTATTGATTTTAATATAGAAGGTTTTAAAGTTTATTTTCTTACCATTAGAAAGTTCTTCTCAAAAAGTAAGTTTTAAACAAAAATGTTTCTCCTCCTGCTGAGAGACAGTCCATGTGCGTCTGCCATAGCGTTCCTGTTTATTAAACTTCAGACTTGTGTTCAGATCATTCCTGCTCTCGGGCTAAAAGGCAGCTCAAGTCAAAATACTAAGGGCAGAGAAAATAAAATACAAAAAACGTGGAGTCTGCAGCTCATAGTAGCACGAACTGTCTGGCCCCTCGCTGCAGGCCATAATTAATTTGAGATTTATTTTTATTGGAGAGTTCCAGTCTCGCTTGGCTTTAACCAAACAAAACCAAATGCGAGGGCCTTTTTGCAAGCGCTTGAATGAGGAATATTTCTTTTAACTTTTGTATCAAGGTGTGTCACATGAGCATCTTCCCGAACGACAGGGGAACCAGTGCAGGACTGCACGCCACAAGAATCCAGCAGGTAAATAGAGACAAGAAAAACAAATCTGCATGTTTCCATAGAAAGCTGAGTTTTATGATCCGATTGCAAAGAAATAACTTATACTGTAATTTACCAATTTTCACTTAATATGATACGAATGTTAAAATAAACATTCAGAATAAACTCTACACACATCAAGTTAAATATAAATGAGAGGACATTTAACTAAACATTTAGGTAACATACACATTCAGACTGCTTTATGACCAAAGTAACCCACCAAAGTAAAAGCATGTTTAAGAGATCCCCTGCCTAACGTTTACGTCCTTTGATGGTAAGGTGGTAAGTGATGTTTATCAGTGTTCCTGTCTGTGTTCTCCCTTTACCTTCATACATGAACCTTGGTGTGTTACATTCAAAGCACCCCTGAGGTATTAGATAGAAGATAACTTCACCACGCTTTTATTTTGATTAGCTCTTTAAATTCTGCAGATTGAATTTGTATACCTAATTTGTATGTGAAAATCTTACTTGATACATGAGCTGATTCTGAAAGTTTGTAAGGTTATTTTCCTATCCTGTTCCATGCTAATATCAGTGCAGAAATCCTGCAAAACCCAGTGTCTGTGTCCTTTATGCTCTTTCTCTTTTAATAAACTCACATTTTAATTTGTATTCTTTATTATCGAAGCTTATAGCCCACTAACTTTGTGTGTTTTACCTACATACATACATTTTTCCTGTATGTGCCACCTTGACAAGTGAATTTCCCCACTGTGTGATTAATAATGTCAATTATATTCTATTATGGCTTTGGGTTCAAACGTTTAGACATGAAAGAGTAATTTTCCAAATTCATGTGAAAAAAAAAAATCATGCCCAACTTTTTATTGTTATAGAAAGCTAAATGTAACAGAATGTAACTTCTTTTTTTTGTTTTACAGTCCAGACATCAAAAGTAACGGTTGTATTTGACACCATTTGTTTTAAAAGTTTAATGTTGAATCAAGGATATTTATAAAAACCTAAATAGTGCAAGCCAACGCACGTTTAAACATATGAATGTGCCAGTTGTGAGCTAAATATTTAGTTAAGTGCTGTAAAATGGAAGTGAACGTTTAAAATGAATGCATGGTCCGTTGTAGCTAGCACCTCACAGACCACATGATGATTGATTCATCTGTTTGAATATGAATGATTAATTAATGTTTTTCTGCACACTCTGCAACATTAACCAAACCCACTCACTTTATACTCTGGTATCAGACGGGATCTTTTCACGTGCTTTTATTTTGAAGTTCAGTTTCACAACAATCTGACTATGCATCTCAGTTAAGTATTGAGTTAAAAAAAACACACTTGTGTTTAAATTCCAATGTTTCCTTCAAACTTTAAACATTTATACTTTGTTCTACACATTTATTTATTTGGATTTACACATTTAGAATCAGCACCCCATATCAGCGTTGGCTCCAGCATTTCCCCTTTTTTAGGGGGGAAGAGTTTGAGTTCAATATTTTCTCCTTAAACATCCCTCCTCCCTATTCAAC